CCGCACATAGTTACAACATGATGGTGCCCCTCCACATTTCGTGAGGTTCGTCCGTGAGCGCCTCAATGAGCTATTTGATGATCGCTGGATCGGCAGACTAGGACCACACGCTTGCCCACCTCGCTCACCAGATCTGACTCCGATAGACTTCTTTTTGTGGGGTATGTGAAAGAAAGGGTTTTTAATCGTGAATGTGATAGTGCTGAAGAAATGCGCCAAAGGATCGTGGATGCTTTCGAGAAACTACGTACGGATTGTGTCGAAGACCATACGATGATGCCCCGCCTGCACCCAAGTCTGCCTTGAAATGAATGGAGCACAATTTGAGCCGCATCTCATAAGACCACGGAGGATTTAGAGCAGTAAGCTGTTTCATAACTATTTTTTTTTAAATAACTTAGTACTAGACTAATCTGAATAGGTACATAACTGAATACACGAGAATAATAAACATACCTACACGATGAATAAAAACGCATGACTCCAACCTTGGTTACATTTCATTTAAGTATTTCTTCATTAGCGGGGAATCGAACCAGTTATTTGGGTTATTTAACCTGTAAATTCGGATTAAAGTGGCTACGTGGAGATAAGCACAGTGGCAAAATAGTAGGTTAAGTAGATAAGTTAGGTATTTAGACACGTGTTGTAAATTATTAGGTATTGTTGGAAGGCCCGCTAGTTGCGGGCCGCGCGAATTTGTGTTCGCGCGTACATTGACCTTTATCTAGCTCAGGTCAGGTGATATCAATTCAGTCATTCCACTGCTGGTTTTATGTTTCAGTATTTTCATGATATTTTTTATGAAATTATCGTTTCATTTAGCTGTACTAACATGATGGCGCGTGAATAAAGCTAATAAAACCTTGTAAAAAGATGATTTTTTTTTCATCAGGATCGAATTTATTTGTGACCCATGATCAAAGGTATACTTGGTGTTGTCGCCTGTCTTAGTTTTCGGGAGCGTTCCAAAAACACCCTGTATATTCTTATTTATTTCTAGAATATAATTACACGTCAGCTACCAATGTTTAAGGGAGTAATTTTTAGATATTATTTCATACAAAATTTCACATTTGTTAATAAATTTGACATAAAAACGCAAATAAATGAATGACAATTGGATATAAAACATATATAATTGATATTATATCATCATCATCATCATTACAGCCCTTCACTAGTCTACTGCTGAACATTGGCCTCCCCCGAGGAATGCTACAAAGCACGGTCCTGAGTCACCTACATCTATCGACTTACTGCATTTCTTACCAGATCGTCACTCCATCTAGTGGGAGGACACCCCACACTTCGCATACCGGTACGAGGCTGCCATTCGAGAACCTTTCTTCCCCATCGGTTGTCGGTTCTTCAAGCTATATAGCCGGCCCATTGCCATTTCAGCTTACTAATCCCTTGGGCTATGTCGGTTACTCTGGTGATATCCTCATTTCTAACTTTTTCACGCAAAGAAACCCTGAACATAGCCCTCTCCGTAGCTCGTAGAGTGACCTTGAGCTTCCTCATACGGTATAGATATTCATCACTGGCAACACGCTCTAGTTCTACAATCTTGTTTTCTAGTTTTGAGGTTGTGTTGTAATATCACGAACGCTGCCCAGCTGAGTTTAATCTGTCGGCTGACTTCTCGGTCGAAGTTGGACTTAGCGAGTCGGACTATTTATTCCAGTTCAACATACTCATCAAGAACTTCGGACGTAGTTCTTTCAACAACTACTGGCATAGGTGTGACGTGGACGTTACACATGACCTATGTTTTGTCCATGTTCATCTTAAGACCTATCCGTTGGCAGACACTATTGATATCATTGAGCATAGTGCTTAGGTCCTCCAGCCATTCTGCCATTAGGACTATATCGTCGGCAAATCGAAGGTGAGTTATGTACTCGCCATAGATGTTAATAAACCGACCCATTCTCACATAAAATCACTAAAATTTTGAAGAAAACTGTAGCAGATTTTCTCACGATGTTTCTTTAGTTGCCGAGAACGTAGTAAATTAACACTGGAAATTAGCAAGACCACGCGTAATACAGATACTAGATTTACAGCAGGCGCTAGCTAGCTAGCTACTGTTGCTATTTCTCCCGAGTTCCCACCGCTCATTTTATGGAAAAAAAATAAAAATTTAAATTAATTAAGTATTGCTGTCCAGGCTAACTAAAAAAAAGGCATGAAGCAATTCTTCACCATATTCAATATTTTGTAGAATAACTAAATTAAATATTTTATTCGTTACATAGAATTAGTATGCAATTAAATTATTATTCACTATACTTAACAAATTTCTTTTTAGTTTTTATTATCGACATTATTTTTGGTATTCTTCTTCATCATCAACTTTTAATCTCCAAACCAGGTGTTTTTTCAATCGCAGTACTAATTACATCCCACATTTTACACTGCTTTCAGTCACCGGTCTCATTAATTTGATTCTGGTATCATTCTGACTATACACGATCTTTATATTTCCTTCTATCAAAGCCGATTAGGTGTTTCTATTAGTATTTGAGGTCGTTCTGAGCTACGAAACAAAATGGGGTACTTATAGTGCGATCGAAATAATGCGATCCTGACAGGTCGTGATCGAACGGACGACATAACTTTGAAGTGGCGTTGAATTTAAGATGTAAAAAATTGTTTATTTGTCATAGTAATGGATAATTATTTTTAAAAATATATTATTATGTCAACTTAAAACACATTTTAATGTTAAATAAATAAGAAATTATTTTTTTTAAAAACCATACTACGCTGTTACAAGAATAGATCAATTGTTTATTTTTGTGGTGGTGTGCCAAAAATAACAGGTAAAAGTAACGTTATTTCTCGTCATACTATACAATAATGCGTTTTTATTTCGAATATTTTAATAATAAAAGAATGTAGCAATAAAGTTAGTAATATTACAAAACGGCGCGCTAACCAAACGCGTGAAGGCAAGTTGCGTAATATGAGTAACTATTTTTATATTTATTTGAAAAAAAAGTTAAAATTTTGTCTATTGTCTATTTATGGTAAAAAATGGCAATGCCAAATGGTGCGTTGAGCTGCCGTTTTGTGGTGTCGAAACAGTCGTCTGTTATTGTTTCGTGCGTATAGACCAAGTTTTCCTGTGTTTCTCGTTCTGTTTATTTATGTGACTCGGCGTTCGTTTAATTGACTGTTCCTGCTTATTATACTAACATTGGCGCTAAATTGGACTTTGATTTTGTTGTGTTGTACCTTTTTTGGTGCATAATAATGCCGAAACGTGGACAAACATTAAAAAGTGAAACCTGTGAGCTAATCATCAAGCTTCAAGATTATTTTGAGCGTGAAACGCAAAATGGTGGACCGCTTGATACCTATCGAAGGGGTACAAGATTGTGTTTCTCAAGCGCTTGGAGTTAGCAAACGAACAATAACAAATATTAATAAAGAAAACTGGCATGGAAGAAAATATTTTACGAACTCCGGAGAAGAAACGCAGAACAAAACCTGTCACAGATATAGATACTTTTGACGCCGGTGCAATAAAGAATCATATATTATATTAGAGGAATGAATATATTAACAGGACAGGACCAAGCTTTTAACATCCTTGAAAGCAACTAATTTGTATAAGGGAGGTAAAACTAATTTACCCAAAATTTTAAAACATGTTGGTTTTCATTATGAAAAGTAGGCTAATGAAACGTTCTTTTCGAATGTTATGATATAATTTTAAAACGAATAACATTTTTAAAATCAGTAACTAGAATAACGTCGTGTTTATTAACAAGACATGATTAAACGTCCCGGTTTATAATATGCCACGGTGGTTCTGTAAATACGGTTTTGTAAAGAAAGGCTTACTGGCATTTGAATAAAAAACCATTACTGACTACCACGAAGAAATGAATGCCGCCACATTTAAAGAGTGGTTGTTATTGCCCGACCTGCCTGAGCCTTCTGTAATATTTATCGATAATGCCCCTTTTCGATGCAAATACAGAAAGCACCTACTCAAGCCAATAGAAAAGAAGAATTGGTGGCTTGGCTATAAACAAAAGGCATTGATGCATTTGTATGCAGATGCTAAAAACAGAATTAATCAAATTAGTTAAAGACAACAAGCCGGCAAAAGTGTGTTGTGAAATAGATGAATTGGCTCTGTAATACGATGATCGCATTTTCAGACTCCCTCCCTATAATTGTCAATACAATGCTATTGAGCTAATCTGGGCTCAAATAAAACGTTAAGCTGTTCAACACAACACTTCACCGTCACTAGGCACAAAAAATATATTGACCCTATTAAAAGAAGCATAGATTACTGTATATATACTAGAGATAAAGAAGCCTGCGGGAAATTCACAATAGATGACTGGACGAAGATCATCGAAAAAATTACAAATCTTATTTTTGAAAACTTTGACAGATATAACAAAACTGATACTAAATATAATTATACATGTAGGCAAAGATAATAATGAAGACAATATCTCCTCAAGCGAATCGGAATTGAATTAAATTTGTTTGTTTGCCAGTCGCAACTCTTTTTCATGATATTGTTATATTTTTTAGTAAATATTTCTGAGTATTAAACTAAAGTAATAAAGAAAATAAAAATAAGCATTTTTATTTTCGTTATTACTTTAATTACATTCAGACATTAGAATCCAGACAAACAAGTAGGTAATGAAACTTGGATTACTTTTTTATTGGGTCAGTTGAAAAGAAAATAATGGTGTTAATTATTTCCCATCACTAGTCATGACGAACTGACAGGCGTCATGATTGCATTCCTTCGTTGGCCGCAATTTAATAAGGTAAACCTATTAACTGAACGTTGAATATAATATGTTGTTTATAAATAAAACCGTTTAAAATAAATTTACAATAAAACAATTTATTTACATTTTTCAGAACTTATAGTGACAAGAATTTGAAATTATATTTTTGGACTACCTACCTGTACACATTAAACAAGTAAAGGTAATTTTTTGAACAACCTGTTAACCATTACTCATGATATTTGAAAACCAATTTATGCAAAACAAAGTGATGTAATAAACAAAATGACATGACATGGTGTGATATCGACCGCTTGATTGATTTATTCTTTCATCCGACATAACACTTGAAGCAACGACTAGACTTCGACTTCTTGTACGTTCACTGCTCGTTTCTTCAGCCGAAAAACTGCTTATTTCTGATGAGGTGCAACTCTGTGATTTTATCTGCAATAAGAAATCTGTATCTTTAAAAATTGTCTTCATGAAATCGAGGTTTAAAATTTTCCAACGATATACGATTTTTTTCCGTGGGTAGAGAAGGGAATTTAGGATCATTTTGAAAAGTAAATCGGCGATTGCAACACCTGGTGTATCGAATGTCTGATTCTGTACCATATAGATAGTCTAGGAATTTTAGGTATAGCAAGACGTGAAATTAATCATATATCATAGAATACAAGATCTTAGTACCTTCCTTTGACAATTTTTACCACTCTACGGAACAAAGGAAACTACAAATTTCCCATGTACAGGGTTTCTATTTGTGGGTAAAAGGTGAATAAGATTACACAAAGAATATGATATATTCACCTGTTTTAAATTTACCTTTGGTTCGGTGTAGTTAGTTATCAAACATCTCCTAGACTGATGCGCTAGACATGCTGCATAAGCAATTGCGTGTGGAATATAGCTTTGTTCTACCACGCCAGTAAACAATATTGTTGCCATCGGACCTAAAAATAAATAAGCGTTTTTTATTTTTCCACTGAGCATTTAATGCTATAGTTAGAAATCTATTATATCAATAACTGCCAAACTTCGTACGATCTCATTATATATATATATATATATATATATATATATATATATATATATATATATATATATATATATATATATATACTTGAATTTGGATTAATTAAGAACTATAACAATAGGCCAGCTAATCAGGCTTCGCAGTTTTTAATGCCAATAATTGCATTTGTTGCATATTTTCTTTAAAAAACTACGTAATTATCAAAACTTTTGATAACAGTTAGATTTATTTTAAGCATAGGGCTTGTTTCAAAAAATTACACTCGTTGAAAAAGAAGAAATTCTAAATGTATATTCAATGTACTTGTGTAATTGTATGATCGTGATTTTTCAGGTTTACGCACCAAACTTGGCACATCCTCATGAGGAAGGAGGTGGAGGAAATGTATGAGGATATATCTAGAGAAATTTATGAGGATATATCTAGAGCCTTGCACTCGTCCAAAGCCTAAGCAAACTATGTACAAAAGAGAACGGTGAGCTGAAGGTAGGGAAATTTGGAATAGGGCAAAGGAACCCAAAGGGGCAAGCACCTTCCAAATTCATGGAGAAAGAGGGACTCTTTATGATGAACTCTTTCTTCCAGAAGCGGCCCCACAGGAAATAGACCTGGGCAAGCCCCGACGGTTCGACAAAAATTATATAGACTTCATTATGACGATCACACCACAACTGTTAAGGGATGTCTCAGTGATCGCAAAGATGAAAACCATCAGCGATCACCGAATGGTTAGAGACACACTGAACATAAACCTTAACTTTGAGAGAACACGTCTATTGAAGTCAATGCTCCGTTCCCCTCGAGCTGTAATCCAAAGTCCTGAAACCTTTCAGCTCGAGCTTTAAAACCGTTTTCAGTGCCTAGAAAATTGTAATGCAGTAGACGATATAAATGACAGGCTGGTGGAAACTGTCCATGCAGTCGGAGCTAAGTTTTGCTAGACCCGCCGCAGAAGAACACAAATACTCTCCGATCACACTCTTCATCTCATGGCTGATAGACGTCAGATGAAGCTGCAGTCTTCAACAGATGTGACAGATCTCCAAATGCATGCGGCGGGACTTACGCAACTTCAATACAATTGGTATTGAAGAAGCGATCGAGCGGAACCAAGGCTCCAAAGTCTTTGCCAGAGATCTGTCTGCCAGAAAGAACCAACTGTCAAAGCTGAAGACTGAGTTTGGCAGCGTCGTTTCCGGGACACCTGAGATTTTCAGTGAGATTAAGAGGTTCTATGGGTTGCTGTACACATAATCGTTGGAGCCACATGCAAGTGTGAGTAACGATCCAAGACCGAGTCTCTCCAGCACCTTGAAAACGGCAAGGCCCCAGGCGAGGATGGAATTACAGCGGAGCATCTGAAAGAGGGTGGAAAACTGGTACTTGAAGTCCTTCAGAAGCTCTTTAATTCCGTCCTCCAATGTGGCCCTATACCGGAGGCGGGGAGCAGAAGTGCGGTGGTCTTATTCTTCAATTTTTCAAGGTGAAAACGCTCTCTTGAAGAACTACAAATTGATTTGCCTTCTTAACCGCGTCTACGTGCTGTTTTCGAGAGTCATTACGAATCTTCTCGCATGCAGACTCGATGACTTCCAGCCTCCCGAATAAGCCGGTTTCCGAAAAGGTTTTAGCACTATAGATCACATACATACCCTTCGGCGAATTGTACAGAAGTCCGAGGAGTACAATTTGCCACTATGTCTGGCGTATTTGGACTATGAGAAAGCCTTTGATTCCGTAGAAATTTATGCGGTACTGCAGTGTCTTCAGCGGTACCAAGTTGACTGTCGGTATATCGAAGTGCTGAAGTGCTTGTACAGTAGGGTTACGATGGCTATCCAAGTACAGAAACAGAGTACGAAACTTATCCAACTGCAGAGAAGTGTGAAGACAGGGTGACGTTATATCCCCGAAACTCTTCGCCGCTGCATTGGAAGACGTTTTTAAGCTTCTGAACTGGAAAGGATACATCAACGACGAACACATAACTCACCTCCGATTTGACGATGATATAGTCCTTATGGCAGAATCGCTGGAGGACTTAAGCACTATGCTCAATGACCTCAATAGTGTCTCCCAATGGATAGGTCTTAAAATGAACATGGACAAAACAAAGATCATGTATAACATCCATGTAACACCTATGCCGGTAGTTGTTGGGAGCACTAAACTTGAAGTTGTTGACGAGTATGTTTAACTGGGACAAAAAGTCCGACTAAGTAAGTTCAACTTCGACCGAGAAGTCAGCCGACGGATTCAACTCGACTGGGCAGCGTTCGGGAAATTACGGCACATCTTGTCGTCAGGTATACCTCAAAACTTGAAAACGAGACTGTACAATAAGCGCGTGTTGCCAGTAATGACCTATGGAACTGAGAAGTGGTTCTTCACTGCTGGCCGAATGAGGAAGCTCAAGGTCGCTCAGCGAGCTATGGAGAGGGCTATGCTCGGGGTTTCTCTGCGTGATAAACTTAGAAATGAGGATATCCGCAGTAGAACCAGAGGGACTGACATAGCCCTACGGATCGGTAAGCTGAATTAGAAAGTCATATAGCTCGAAGAACTGAAAACCGATGGGGTAAAAAGGTTCTCGAGTGGCGGCCTCTTACCCGCGGGTGAAGTGTAGGGTTTCCCCCCACTAGATAGAGTTACGACCTGTTAATACATGCAGGAAGTCGATGGATGCAGGTAGCTCAGGACCGTGCTTTGTGAAATTCCTTGGGGGAGGCCTATATTCAGCAGTGGACTTGTGAAGGGCTGTATTGATGATGATCATGATGATGAATTGTGGCTTGACCACGTTAACAAATTTAGTTTTATTTTGTTTGCGTGGTAAAATCCATAATAAATAGAAACTGTGTAATGGACATAGCCTAACATATCATAAAACAATGGTCTGACCATATGACTCAACGAACTGATGACCGATAGATACTAGATGGAGTGGGACCTGGTGAGATATGCAGGAAGTAAATAGCCGTGTGTGTCTCCCGACCACGCTTTGTGAGAAGATGTTCATACTTGAGGACTATAATGCTATAAGTCAGAATGTATCAAATTAATAAAAGACTATATTGTTAAAAGCTTACAAGTAAAACTGATAAGAAAATACAAAACTCAACTTTTCCTTAGATTTGAAACAATTTATTCATTTATTTATTTAAACTTTTATGCACAAATAATAAAATCGTATATATGGTGGATTTAATGCCTTAAGGCGTTCTCTCCTTGTTAACCACTAGGCTAAGCAGAGATTAACATATGGGTGGTAGAGCAGCAAAAATAAACTAATAATGAGAAAAAAGGTAACGAAGTTCGAATAAGCCAGAATATGTAATATAAATATATTAATACAGATGTACACAAATACATAAATCTAATTAAATACATACAATACATAAATATATCTATGCCATAATGAATAAGGAAAATATGTGACGATAGAATATTATTTTAGGAAAAAGCGTTAATTTACACTTGCAATGCTTTACTAAAATGTTCATAAACTTTTTTTTGAAAAAGAAACTTGTTGGATGCTTTTTATAATGTCAAGGGGTATTTTGTTCCAGTCTTATAGCCTTAAGAGCGATAGAGTGAGACATATAACCAGTACGGTGTAAAGACGTTAGCAACTTTAGATTATGCGAAGAATGGAAAAATCAATTATGATTATCTCCTAAGTACTCAGGAGTACAAGGATAGTTCAGGATTGTGAAAAAAGTGCAGATTATTCTTATATATCTGCGCTGACTGATAGGCAGCCAGTTAAGCTGGAGATGATCCAATGTGTTAAAATGCTGTTGAGATAAGTCTGCGCATACACATACACACATCTACATAGTCTTTTATTGGCAGAATAAGAGATTGAACAAGCAAAACTTTTATTTGTAGCGGTAGGAAGAAAATTTTTTATGCGATAAAGATATCGCAATGTTGCAGTAACTTTGCGGATCACCTCTTAGATTTGCTTGATCCATGAAAGACAGCTATCAACGTACATACCGAGATTCTTAACATGTGGAGAGTATGGGATAGCACTGTTCTTGTACAAAATAAACGGCAGACAAGTATTTGAACTACCTAAAATGATCGCTAGACTTTTGGAAGGAGTCACGTTAAATCCAAACACAGTGGACCATTCATAGATATAATTTAAATCTACGTTTAGTAACTTCCTCCAGTACATATAGTTGTAGATCATCAGCATATAGATGACAAGAGCATTTGAGGTTTATTGTGATATGATTGATAAAAATTTAAAACAGAAGAGGTGAGAGAATACCGCCTTGAGGGACACCATTTAATACATTGCTCCAATTGGAAATATTATGGCCAGAATGCACGGCCTGTTGGCGCCCTTGAAGATATCATGAAAACCACCATGAGACCTGCATCTGCATTTTGGTTCTTTGTTGAGGATAAATGTAGATGTCTTTGGGTGGGTTATCACCCAATGCTATAAAAAAACTAATCCTGGGTTGAAAACGAGATATTCAAGTAAGAGAGTAGACCTAGCAAGATAGTGTTCGAGAGTATTAAAAGTGTTAGAAAAATCTATTAAGGTGAGAATTAATAATTTGGAATTTTCTATTCCCTCTTGAATATCTTCAGTAACCTTGAGAAGGGTGGTTGTTGTGCCATGCCCAGGATGAAAACCAGACTGATATGATGAAAAAATCTTGTTTTTGAAACTAAAAGTAGAAATTTGTTTATGAGCAACAGCTCTAAAACTTAAAGACAAAAATGGAAGGTTGTTGTTGGTATAAACTGAGAAAAAAGGCAGCTCCCAGTGGATTTTAGAAAAGGAAACACAAAAGCTTTACGCCAGAATGTCGGGAAAGTACCATAATTATCACTATTACAGCCCTTCATAAGTCCACTGCTGAACATAGGCCTCCCCAAGGAAGGCCACAAAGCACGGTCCTGAGCCACCTGCATCCATCGACTTCCTGCATTTCTTACCAGATCGTCACTCATTCTAGTGGGGGGTCGCCCTACACTTCGCCTACTGGTACGAGGCTGCCACTCGAGAACCTTTCTTCCCCATCGGTTGTCGGTTCTTCGAGCTATATGGCCAGCCCACTGCCACTTCAGCTTACTAATCCGTTGGGCTATGTCGGTTATTCTGGTTCTACTGCGGATATCCTCATTCCTAAGTTTATCACGCAGAGAAACTCCGAGCATAGCCCTCTCCATAGCTCGCTGAGCGACCTTGAGCTTCCTCATACGGCCAGCAGTGAAGGACCACGTCTCAGTTCCGTAAGTCATCACTGGCAACACGCACTGGTTGTACAATTTCGTTTTAAGGTTTTGAGGTATGTCTGACGAGAAGATGTGTCGTAGCTTCCCGAACGCTGCCCAGCCGAGTTGAATCCGTCGATTGACCACTCGTTCGAAGCTGGACTTACCTAGTCAGACTATTTGATACTCGTCAACAACTTCGAGCTTAGTGCTCCCAACAACTACCGGCATAGGTGTGACATGGACATTAAACATGATCTTTGTTTTGTCCATGTTCATCATAAGACCTATTCGTTGGGCGACACTATTGAGGTCATTGAGCATAGTGCTTAGGTCCTCCAGCGATTCTGCCATAAGGACTATATCGTCGGCAAATCGAAGGTGAGTGTTGTACTCGCCACTGATGTTAATACCGCATCCTTTCCATTCCAGTAGCTTGAAAAGTCTTCCAATGCAGCGGTGAAGAGTTTCGGGAATATAACGTCACCCTGTGTTATAAGACCTCTTACAAGAGGTGTAACTCTTTGCAGTTGGATAGGTTTCGTATTCTTATTCTGTACTCGAGTAGCCATCGCAGCCCTACTGTACAAACACTTCAGCACTTCGATCAACCGACAGTCAACTTGGCACCGCTGGAGGGACTGCAGCACCGCCCAAATTTCGACGGAATCAAAGGCTTTGTCATAATCCGTATATGCAAGGCAAAGTTGCAGATTATACTTTTCTGTCTTCTGTACAATTTGCCGAAGGGTGTGTATGTGGTCAATGGAAAAACCTTTTCGGATACCAGCTTGTTGGGGAAGCTGGAAGTCGTCAAGTCTGCGTGCGAGACGATTCGTAGTGACTTTTGAAAGCAGCTCAGAAGGAAAATCGGTCTGTAGTTCTTCAAGAGAGCGTTGTCGCCTTTCTTGAAGAACAAGACCACCGCACTTCAGCTCCACGCCTCCGGAGTAGTACTACCATGGAGAACGGAATTCAAGAACTTCTGAAGTACTTCAAGTAACAGTTTTCCACCCGCTTTCAAAATCTCGGCTGTAATTCCATCCCCACCTAGGGTCTTGGCGTTTTTAAGGTGCTGGAGAGTCATTCTAATCTCGCTCAGACTGACTTCCAGATAAGACTCGCTCTTGGTTCGTTACTCACACTTGCGTGTGGCTCCAACGATGACGTGTGCAGCTGCCCATAGAACCTCTCAATCTCAGGTGTCCCGAAAACAATGCTGCCACACTAGGTCTTCAGCTTTGACAGTTATATATATATATATATATATATATATATATATATATATATATAACTATTAGAAATAGTTTGACTAGACAAAAATGACTGTTGTAATCGTCTGGAGAAAAAGACATGCTATTAGGGGCAAGGTGTGTTTTGCCAAATCCAAGAGTATTGAGAAACTTCCATATATCAGCTGATGATGAATAAAGCACATGTTCATGGATGTAACGGCGTTTAGCAGCTCTCACCATCTGAGTGCATCGATTTCTCGCAACTTTATATGTTTTCCACTTTTCGTCTGTGCGTTTCCTCTTATATCTAATAAAGGCACGAAATGCTCTGTCATGCTTTGCCATTGCTATTCTTACCTCTGCTGTTACTCATGGAACTGGATGCTGCTTAAGTTTAACAACACGCTTAGGAACATTTTTATCAAAGATTTTTATTATATTGACGTTCAGGATATTAGGACTTAGGACTTAATCATCAACTGTAGACGCAGCAAACACAGAAAACCAGTCAATTTCATCAGCGTCGCGCTTAAACTTTTTCACATCCAGTCTAGCAAAGCTACGAATAGACACAGACACTGATGTATGCTTGGGAGACTTTAATTTGTATGAAAGAAAGAACAAATCATGCCCTGAAAAACTAGAAGCAAAAAATTGGCCGTAGTTGGCAACATTCTCAATAGAGGAGACGGATATATGATCGATCCATGTGTTTGCAGAGTCAGTATTATGATGTGTAGCATTTAATGGCAGAATAGTGTGATTGACGTTTGCAAACACTATTAGCGTGTGTCCTTTAATTTTAATGTAAAATGAAGTTATTAATTAATTAAAAATATATTTTTTGGGGAATTCCTCATTCAAGACATTAACTTATATTCAACAGAGCAATTTTCGAAATTATTCTGTTTAATTTTATCATATGTGAATAGTTCGATATGAAGATAATAAAAATTTGAGACTTTTTACCCAGTGCGTAGATTGGTACGTCTTCTCCTCCGTGTGTTGCCCATTGCTTTGGGACAGCAGATTCGTGTAATGCATCAGGGGATGAAAATGAATTTGTTACATTTACTGGAAGTGATCGGGGCTCCGAGTGACCGGGTCCATTACCATACAACAGTGTGGTGTACCGCAAGCCGTCAATATCCGATACTTCTACGTCAGCTCCTTCAAAATAAATACTCGTATTATCATAATATTTAAGACTAAAATTAATCACACTTTGAAGAACTCTGTAAATAAATTACTTAAGAAAAAACATCACTTCTATGGAAGCTATACTGAGAATAGCTATTTATTTACCGATTTATTGTATGCTATGGTTATTGCACATAGGGTTATGGCATAGCACTTAGTCATATTCTGAAGTAAAAATGTGCAAAATATGGAAAATACCTAATATTGGATGTCCTCTTGGTGTACGTTGGCCTCCAAACGTCATGACGTGACCATGATCAGCAGTAACGACGATTAAAGTTTCTGCTATATTTACACGCTCTAACGCAGCCAGAAGTGCAGTTTCTAATTCCAAAGTTTCATCTAAAGCTCTGTACGGATTATTGTAATGATGAGCGTGATCAATTTTTCCTCCTAAAATATTTTTTTCAAATGAGCTTTATTGAAAAATATCTTAAAAGTTCGTCGTACGTAAAAGTAAATTTTAGAGAAAACTAAAAGTGAGAAAAGTGATTCGTAAACCTGAGTAGAAAGTAAATACAAAGTTAATATTGCTAGTCGTCAAATTACTTAACAATTTTCTCTGGATTTGTGTATGATTTCATCATATTTACTGACTATCAAATTGAGTCATAATATATTACCTTCAATAAATAAGAAAAATCCTTTTTCATTTTTCTTTATTATTGACAAAGCTGTTCTTGTCATATCTGCAAGAGAGGGATCGTCTATTTTTTTTGTTGAACTGGTACCTGTTTCATCTTCTGAATTTATAACTGTTCCACGATCGACGTTGAAATTCAAGTGTGAATATTCAAATAAGCCTGTTAATAAATGAACGATTGTTTAACGAATAAACGGTTTAAAATGGGTAAAAAATTCACGTATAGAATATTTACCCCTTTCGAATAAGAATAATAGTAACTTTAAGTGTAGGAAATATACGGCTGTTGTTATAACAAGGGTTACTTACTTTAATTGATATTTTAATTTTGTTTCTAAATAGACGAAAAATTAACTATAGATTAGTTATTAGTAACTCACCTAATAAATAATCTATATTACGAGGGTCTATTTTATGTAACTGTTCCTTTGAGGTGATATATTGTGCTCGTAATAGTCTTTTCCTTTTTTCTCTCACCCAGTCTTCAGCCAAATTACGCCCATCTAATCGTCGTCCTTCACGTTTTGGGTTTTCGGGATCTAAAGTTACTGTAGGTAGAAAATGTCTTCTTCCGCCTCCCATTATTACCTTTTTAAAACAAAAAGCTATTATTCAGCTAAAGCTTCTTGTTTTTCCAAATTTAATAAATAAAATTATGAAGAATGTGTCAACAATTTCTATATGTGTCATCATCATTACAGGCATTCACAGGTCCACTGCTAAACATAGGCCTCCCCAAGCAATGCCACAAAACACTGTCCTGAGCCATTTTCATCCTTCGACTTATTTCATGTCTTACCAGGTCGTCACTCCATCTAGTGAGGGGTAGCCCTACACTTCACCTACCAGTAAGAGGCTGCCCATCGAGAACCTTTTTTCCCCATCGGTTGTCAGTTCTTTGAGCTATATGGCTGGCCCATTGCCACTTCAGCTGACAAACCGTTGAGATATGTCAGTCACTCTGGTTCTATTGCAGATATCCTCATTTCTACGTTTATCACGCAAAGAAACTCCGAGAATAATCCTCTCGCTCGCTAGCTCGCTGAGCGACATTGAGCATCATCAAGTACAATGTCGTTTTCAGGTTTTGAGGTATTCCTGACAAGATGGTGTGTCGTAATTTCCCGAATGACGCCCAGCCGAGTTGAATCTGTTGATTGACCTTTCGGTTGCAGTTGGACTTACCTAGTCGGACTATTTGATACTCGTAAACAACTTCGAGCTTAGTGCTCCGAACAACTACTGGCATAATTGTGACATGGACATTACACATTATCTTTGTTTGTCCATGTTCATCTTAAGACCTACCAGTCGGGAGACACTATTGAGGGCTTTGAGCATAGTGCTTAGGTCCTCCAGCGATTCTGCCATAAGGACTATATGGTCAGCAAATCGAAGGTAAGTATTGTGCCCGCCGTTGATGTTAATACCATATCCTTTACAGTCCAGTAGCTAGAAAACGTCTTCCAATGCAGCGGTGAAGAGTTTCGGGGATATAAAGTTACCCTGTCTTACACCTCTCTGCAGTTAGATAGGTTTCGTACTCTGATAGCCATCGCAGCCCTACTGGGCAAACATTTCAGCACTTCGATATACTGACAGTCAACTTGGCTCCGCTAAAGGGACTGTAGCACCGCACAAATTACGACGGAATCTAAGGCTTTCTTATAGTTCACATAGGCAAGGCAAAGTGGCAGATTGTACTCTTCGGTCTTCTGTACAATTAGCCAAAGGGTATGTATATGTGGTATATGGTACTAAAGCCTCTTCGTAAACCAGCTTGTTCAGGAGGCTGGAAGTCATCGAGTTTGCGTGCGAGACGATTAGTAATAACTTTTGAAAAAAGCACGTAGACGTGACTCAAAAGGAAAATCGGTCTGTAGTTCTTCAAGAGAGCGTTGTCGCCTTTCTTGAAGAACAAGACCACCGCACTTCTACTCCACGCCTCCGGAGTAGTGCCACCATGGAGGACGGAATTCAAGAGCTTTTTAAGGACTTCAAGTACTAGTTTTCCACCTGCTTTCAAAAGCTCCGCAGTAATTACATCCTCGCCTCGAGCCTTGCCGTTTTTAAGGTGCTGGATAGCCATTCTAATCTCGCTCAGACTGACGTCCAGGATATCTTAGGAATAGTGTTGGATAAGACTCGCTCTTGGATCGTTACTCACACTTGCGTGTGGCTCCAACGATGACGTGTACAGCTGCCCATAGAACTTCTCAATCTCACTCAAAATCTCAGGTTTCCGGAACTGCTACACTCGGTCCTCAGCATTGACAGTTGGCTCTTTCTGGTAGACAGATCTCTGGCAAAGACTTTGGAGCCTTGGTTCCGCTCGATCGCTTCTTCAATACGAGCTGTATTGAAGTTGCATTGCATTTGGAGATCTGTCTGTTCAGTTGCCTGTATTCTATCAAATCTGTTGAAGACTGCAGCTTCATTTTCCGTCTAACAGATGGCTGTTATACGGGAAATGAAATTAAGAGTGTGATCGGAGAGTTTTTGTGTTCTTCTATGGCCGGTCGTGCAGAACTTAGCTCCGACCGCATGGACAGTTTTCACGAGCTATAAAGAAATATTTTTTATTAGAGAATCGCCTGTGTACAATAAAATACTAAATTCGTCAATATATGTATCACATGATCGCGAATACATAAATAAAAGCTAAATACACGTATATAACTACTATAAAAAGTTCTCACGTTAATACTCCTCCCAGGCTCATTTTCTACAAGTTGTAAAGCGATATCTTTGCATTCACGTCGCACAGTTGGTGAGACACGGCTGTCATCTTCCCAATAACGAGATGGCGCATGAGCGTACAGAGCCGCAGGAGTTGCGTGCGTTACTCTTGCTGTTGTTACAATACCACTTGATTTACCTATTAAAATACAAAATAATATGTAAGGAAATCCATTGACAGGGGCCATTATAAAAAGTTTTAAAAATATAATTTAATCAATATTCTACGGGGCTAGCTTTCACCTGCACTATGCGCCCAGTCTATTAATGATGTAACTTTTGAGTTAATGGCTGATGCACAGTTATTAAACTTTCCTCCAGCGTCTAAGCCGAGAGTTTCATAATGTGCTTTTACTCCACATAATAGAGCAGTAGCGCACGCTGACGATTCTCCGGTTTGCGCATCAATGTTGTAAGTCTGTAGAGGATAATCGTATTTAATTCATGACTTTCGGGTCTTTTAATTCTACATAATTGTTTTTGCAATGAAGAAACAGGAAATTAAACCTAAATTAATTTTATTTTTATGTTTCCTAATTACTGCGCACAAATTACAATTACAAAACCTTACAATGAGCGGAGAACGTAAAACATAAAACCAGAAATCATAGAATAATGATAAAAGCGGGAATAACACTTCTGATATTAGTGTAACATTTGCGTTCAGAATTACTTTTATTAATCCATTACAATGTTATACCGTTCAAAAATACTGGATGGTTATTACTTATGTTATATGGTATAATTAAAAAAATCTTATATTCAAAACAATAATATGAAAATATAAAATAAAAAGCCTATCTGTATTATAAGAGTTTCATCTAAAAACTAATGAACGAGTTTTATGGCGAGTAACATTTGGCTACCCGTCATAAAACCCGTTAGGCTCATTGGCTTATTAGTGGAAAGTGTTTAATGTTCAATTTGTTATCGTCGTCTAAAAATTTGCTGAGCTATCTTATTATAACTTTTTGAAGGAATCCATTAAAATATTATAATAACAATCATTTATTGAGAAATTTAAATAGACTACTTATAAATTTATAAATATGAACTGTCAAAGTTTGACAATTTTTCTCTATAAGGCTACGTTTTCACCAGAGGTGTGCGAAGTACCTAGACGGTGCGAGGATACGTAGTGAGGCTGTGGAACGGTTTGAGCGTTTCCACCAGGATGTGCTAGGCCACTGAGTAGTGCGGGCATGCGTACCTAGCGTAGTAGATAACACATACCTCGCACACAGCCCTGGGACACATCCCTCGCATCACATCCTTCGCACACGTTCTTCCCTTGTTTTGTATGTACAAAAACCTCGCTTCGCTGAGCCGTTTCCGTGAGCCGTTCTTAACAAACACATCCCTCGCTACGCATTTTCACACATCTGTGGTGGAAACGCAGCCTAATAGTCCAGAGATGTGGCGCTAAATGTGACCGATAAAATATTTAAGTAGTAGTAGTTAGTTAAGTTCGCGCTCGCATTTGTTAAGTTTCCTACCAACCATTCACGAACGGCAAAGGAACGCCTTTCTCTGTTTAAGTCATGGTCAACTCACAAATCTCGCGTCACGCACAAACTCGCTTATTAAGTGGCGAAGCTTGCGAAGTCATTTATTGATTTCACGATGTCTGTCCGTCTGTCTGTCTCTCCGTCTGTCCGTCTGTCCGTCTGTCCGTCTGTCCCACGATTATCTCGAGAACGGTTTCGAATTTTCAAATTCTGTTTTCAGCAATCGATTACTGATCACCCAGGCATCTGAACGTCCTATTTTGAAACTGATTGCTCAACAGCAACCGTTAGAAACCGCTACAAAGCTGATTGCTTCGCCACTGTGCTATGCTGTTAGCTTGCTAGGTTTATTACAAACGTTAAGTGTTTGCCGTTTATATAATATAAATCAAGACAAATATCTCTATTATATGCTTCAAACACCATGGCCACAAATTCGCCCGGTTATACTGCTACAACTATCGTGGCTAGCTTTATATTTCTGACAAATAGGTATTTACTTTCTCAAAGCGCCGATTAAGGGGCTCAATCAGACCACATTGTCCGCCCAACTTAGTTTACTTACACATTTACCAATTAATTGACAGCCGATACCTGCTTTATTGAGCTCCTCATTTAGACTGTTTATGTAAAGATTAAAGGTTAAACAGCAGAGGGGTGTTTAGCCCACCCTACCTTAACCCACAAGGCAATATATACTCGTCTGAAAGAGAATTGTCCCAGTTCACTACATTGCCCTGCGAATTTCACCAATTAATAAGGATTTTAATTAAGTAAGGTGGATTACGGAGGATTTTAACGAATGCTAGGTATACTGGGTGAGGCAAAGGACCCTATTGGAAAACGTTATAATTTTTGCAAATGGCGTCAAATATCAAATCAAATTTGACATTTTTGAAGTAAATAGATATAAAATACATTTTGACAAGCCATGAATCGCTATACTCCTCAAGAACGCGGAATAATTTTTTCCATTTTTTTGCGCAATAATTCGTCTGTGGTGTTGGCACAGCGTAAATTTCTTCGATTTCTTAGCCGTTCGACAAGAACTGGACTAATACTACTGGATTTTGCCACCCACCTTGAAGAGAATGGGACAACACGAGATGCTCCTCGACGTGGCTGGCCTCGGACTAGCCGTTCTGCTGAGAATGTTGCTACGGTAGCCGAAGATGTCGAAATGGACCTCGTACATCAACCAGATGACGTGCCGCGCAATTGGGCCTTGGCACGTATTTTGGTGAACGACCTGAAGATGCTCCCTTACAAAGTGCAGAAAATGCATGCAGCGGTTGATCGCCAAACGCGCGTAACCTACGCTCAAGCCATCCTGAATCTCGACCACGAAAATGACGGTTTTTAATCGAAACTCATCATCAGCAAAGAGGCTCATTTCCACCTCAGCGGCTACATGAATCGCCAAAATTACCGACTCTGGGGCACTGAATATCCGCGTGTGAACCACGGAAAGCCATTATACCCGCTCGAAGTTACGACATGGTGCGCTGTTTACGCTGGAGGAATCATCGGGCTATTTATTTTTCGAGGACGCCGCGGTTCAAACGGTTACTGTGAACGACGATCGCTACAGAGCCATGATCAACGAGTTTCTTCTTCCTCAATCTGATGAGCTGAGACTGGAGGACAAGTAGTTTCAACAGGACGATGCAACAGCAGGCACTTCCGGGTCGCCTAATCTCTCGTTTTGGCGATCGCACCTGCCGCCAAGATCACCCGATTTGACCGTACCAGGCTTTTTTGTGGGGATTTTTGAAGTCTCGTGTTTACGTGAACAAGTCTCAGACTTTGGAAGCCCTCAAAAACAAAATCCGATACGAAGACGCGAACCTATCGCCTGAAGTTCTGGCAAAAGTGATGGAAAATGTCATAAAAAGGGCACGTATGGTCATCAACGCTAGCGGCAACCACTTGTGCGATATCATCTTCTTGACTTGATGGAAAAAAATTCTAATAAATCAAACATAAATAATTCATAAACAGAACCAACTTTTTTAATTTAAATTAAAATTAACAGCCAAAGAACATCAGATGATTACTTTTGTCTCTCCCAGTATAAAGCAAGCATTTTACAAAATTAATTTAATTACAAAAATAAACTACATTTTTACTCATTTACAAAATACTAAATAAAAAATACACCCTGAAATCTGAAATCAGGTTCAGTGCAAAAATATAAGCCTATAAATGTAAACCTCGCAGAGCTGGCCATCTAACCATACCGATAACACGGGCTAATTGGGGAAAGAAAATGATTATATATAGAGGTGTCCAATTATTCAATAGTCTACCATCGGATAAAAAACCAACATTATTGTGAAATATTCTTTTGTGTAGCATTTTCAAAACGTAATAAATATATCATAAAAAAAACTTAAAGTTACTGCCTATATACGTCCCACTGCTGGGCACGGGCCTCCCCTCATTCTGAGAGGGTTTTAGGGCAAGGAAGTGTCGGCCGCGCTGCTACAATGCGTGTTGGCGAACTTCACATGTCTTTGAAATATTTTTTTCTTATTTCTCAGACATGCCGGTTTCCTCGCGATGTTTTCCTTCACCGCCAAGCACGTGGTAAATCAGCACTTAAAATTGCAGTTAACAATTTCATTGGTGCCGGCGGGGATCGAACCCGGTTTGCTCATATACTATTATTCAAATCTTAAGTTCTCATGTAAGTGACAATTTATCAAATGATTGTTTTATTGAGAACTAACTGTGCCCCGCGACTTCGTCCGCGTGGCATTTACTACGATTTCATGAATATCAATTTTTTTGCGCGAAACCCTAATTTTGTTTTTGAGTAATGTTACCATCTTATAAATATTGACAAATATTGACATTTATACTAACGATACTAACGTCACTCAATTGTTTTACCTTCCCGGAACCCTTCCACTAACACTTAAACTTTATGGTATGGTATTAAAGTTCAAATTGACTTTTGAGTATTATTACGAATCTTTTGTATAGGAATATAGAAAAGTATTGTTTTTAGACTTTTTCAGGCAATTTTATAAATTTTAATCTCCGTAACAACCATCTTCGTACATCGAGGATTATTATAAAAAAAGAATTAGCAAAATCGGTTCAGCTGCTCTCGAGATTTGCGCTTAGCAACACATTTAGCGATTCATTTTTATATTATAGATAAAATTTCTTTGAAACTAAGTCAATATACAAAAAGTATCATCTTAACCGATTATGTAAATCTCAACTATATTTTGCTATAGAATAGAATAGAATAGAATATTTTTTATTCAATATACATTACATGTGTAATTCTTATTGAAAGTCATTTTTTACTTTACCACTGGTTCGAAAAAACCCTCTGTCCTGGGAAGAACCAGCAAGAAACCCAGCGGGACTTTTTTTTTTAAAATAAATTTTACAATATAAATGATTACGAACTATTTACAAAATTTATTTTAGAAACTTGAAAGGGACGAAGAGAGAACGAAGTGTGAAATATGGGTAAATCAGGAATGTCTAGAACAGGTAAATGAAATTGTATACTTGGGGAGTGCTTTTAGCCGGGATGGAAGATGTGATTTAGATGTGGACAGGCGTGTCGCTGCCGGGAACAAAGTCAATGGTGCCCTGACTGCGTTAGTCAAAAGGCAAGGCGTAGCGAAGAGTGCACGCCTTGCAATACATAACGCAGTGTTGGTACCGACTTTGTTATATGGCAGCGAAACCTGGGTATGCCAGAAGAAGCATAAAAGTAAGTTGAATGCAGTGGAGATGCGATCTCTTCGTAAAATGTGCGGCGTTACTATGGCCGACCGAAAGCGAAACGAAGAGATTCGCAATATGGCAGGTTTGAAAGATGACCTTATCACAAAAATTGATAAGGGCGTGCTTCGGTGGTTTGGGCACGTTGAGCGAATGAGTG